AGGATAAGCACAATATAGAACAGAATGTCATGATCTAGAAGAAAAAAAATAGAATGGGACAGAGAGATAAGCAGGGTCCTGAGGTCCTTCTGTAGAGATGAAAATTGCTGAGCTTCCTGGCAGCCAAAGAGAAAAGGGAAACCTAGCCCCTCAGCCCACACTCACTGTGATAGGAAACCACCATTACAGTGGCCACAGTTGTCTTTGCTGCTGGGTGAGAGGGTCTGGGACCCTGGGCCTCTGGGCCTGGATAGATGGGTGGGTGAAGGTGGGAGGCATGGCAGGGATAGGCCTTGGGGTCTGGCTTTAGGAAAACAGGGCAGACAGTGAGGGTGGAGGCATTCTCTTGGATGCGGATGTAGCTGGCTGTGGGAACAGAGAGGAAAGTTCACCCCAAGAGTGAGTCAGTGGCCACCTGTCCCTCCTTAGACCCTGGGATAGACCTCCTCGGGTTGGCACCTCGGCGAGGCAGGCCATGTCAGGGGGTGAGTCCCCCGGCTATGGTGAGTGTGCTGTGTGCCTTTCCCTCCAACCTCAGCTGGATTTCCCTGTGTCTCATTCTCTCCTGCGGTCTCTGGGGATTGGCACTATGGAAACCTCAAGGGTTGTTTACAGGATGCAGGGGGCCTAGCACTGGGAGGCCCTGCCATGCTCTGCCAGAGTCTCACCCAGTCCAAGGAGGAGTAGCCCAGCCTCGCAGGGCCTGGTAGATCAGCCGCTCCGTGCCTGAATTCCCTCATCTACAGCGTGGGGTTAACGGCACAGGGGATAATTACCAGTCAGGGCTGTTGGGGTAGAGACTTGCACAGCTCATGGTAAGTGCTCCAAGAGTGTCTTTTTGGCCTGATAGCCCAACAGTGGCGATGGGCAGGCCTGCATCACAGGGCTGATAGGAACACTGGTGGGGTGGCCGCCCTACCCTCAAACATAGCGCCAGGTGGGTGTGGACCCCATAATCGGCACTGGGTTGGCCCCAAACCCCCACTTAGCACCTGTAAGTACAGGGCACCTCCATGCTTAGCTGGGGAAGATGGCTCTTAGGGGGCTCCGGGAGACTTGCTCTGCTCTCTGGACCCCCACCCCATTTTGTTGGGAGGCCACCAAGAGGACTGAGGTGACTCCCCGAGTCGGACAGACAGAGAGAAGGACAGAGCAGGCCCTTGGTGGGATCCCAGCCCCCCTCAGCGTCAGGGAAGACCTGAGTCAGCAGGTCTGCGGCCTGAGGCGGGGCTGGCGGCAGCCACAGTGACAAATTGGAGGGTTGCAATCAGACAGCACATAGTTTTCCACTTGCGTCTTCAGATTCCCCTCCGCCTGAGTCCGTCGCCCCTGGCCCAGACCCGCTTACATCTGGAAAAGCAAGAGGTGTGTGTGGGGAGCAGGCTGCCGGCCGGCCAGCCCTGGCCCTTTGCCCAGGGGTTCAGTGACTGCAGCCCAGAAGCCAGGGGCAGGGTCCCTGGGCCTTTGGCCCCAGATCTCCGAGAGGGAACCCGACACCTAGGAGCTGTGCACACCGGGGCCCAAAGCCAGAGACGGTAGGTTATAGGATGTGCGTTTTGGGGTGAGTTGCTAAATCCCTCTGGGCCTGTTTCCTTGGGTAACGTGCCAGCGAGGTGGTTCGGGGGAAGATCACGAACGGGTTCCGTTGGCCGGCACCCAGTGGCGTGCCTCCCTTTGTCCTCCTGAGTCTCAGCGTCGGAGTGCTGGAGTAGGGAGAAGTCCAGCTCGGCCGTCAGGCCTGCCTGAGTTCGAACCCCGGTCCAGCCCCTTCGTACTGTGTAAGCGACTTCCAGGGCTGTTGTGAGATTAACTGAGTCGAGGCCTTGGGCCTGCCCGGGCAGGCTAGGTGCCGCTCGGTGGCTCTGTCTCTGAGCAAACACCTCCAAGCTCCTATCTGTCATAGGCTTTAGTCTGTGGCATCGGTAGTCCTCAGCCTCTGGGGCCAGGCTGGAAAATCACTTTTGCATCTGGTGTTATTTTGGGAACGACAGATCGTTTTGTGCCTTGAGGGCCAATGGGGCATTTGAACCGCCTGGTGGGCAGAGGCAGCCCACTTGGGGGGCTGGTGGAAGTGGGGCGGGGGGTTCTGCTGAGCAGGCCCCCCCCCTCCCCTGCTGAGGTGCATCTGGGGAGGAGGGCTGGGGAGCAGCTGACAGCCAGGCTCTGGGAGCTTCCAGGGAGCTTCCCGGACAATTAGCCATCTGATGCCCTCTGCGGGAGGCCGTGTGCACACACCTCCTGGGACAGGGAGCTCTCCGCCCCACAGCCTGGGCCAGGCCTGGGGAGTTCCAGTGCAAGGAAATTCTTTCCCACTTGGAGCGGACACCCCTCTACCCCTCTTCCTGTGATGTGCCCCACCCCCCAATACACACTGGGAGGCCTGGCCCTGCTCTCTGGGGCCCCAGAGCATCTGCTTCCCTGTCCCGGGAGAGCCTGTAGTGGCCAGGATTCCCTGAGGCTGAGGACAGGGTCTTTAGTCCCCTCCCCACATCCTTCCCCTTCTGGACAGGCTATCCCTGTCCCTCTCTGGGCAGGGTCTGGAGCTGGGCATGGGGTGGGACGGGAGCTCCTAGGCAGGGCTCACCCAGCTGCCTCCACCCCTTGCATGGGCACTGCCCAAAGCACACATGGGTTCTTTTTTTTTTTTTTTTTTAAGATTTATTTATTTGACAGAAAGAGACCCAGCGAGAGAGGGAACACAAGCAGGGGGAGTGGGAGAGGGAGAAGCAGGCTTCCCGCGGAGCAGGGAGCCCGATGTGGGGCTCGATCCCAGGACTCTGGGAACATGACCTGAGCCGAAGGCAGATGCTTAACAACTGAGCCACCCAAGCACCCTGCACACATGGATTCTTCTGGTGGCTGCTTTACCCTTTCATACAGGGGACTTACCACCTCAGCCCTGCAGGCCTGCCTTCCTCTCCTCCTCCCCCCTTTTCCCCCCGCCCCTCCCCATGCTGCTCTGTTGCCCATCGCCCCCCATCCAGTCTTTGTGTGGGGGTGAAGCCCTCCTCTCGCCCTGGCACTGTGCCAGGTGCTCAGTGTCCAGCCTCACATCAGGCCAGCGGATGAGGGCAACCATCCCACTGGACAGAGGAGGAACCTGGGGCTCAAGGGCCTCAAGTTACTAGTCGCCAAGCTGGGTCACAGCCGAGGCCTTTCCTGGTGAGGGCAGCACGTGTCCTCTGAGCCAGGCAGGGAGATTGCACGGAAATCTTGCTGGAAAAGGCTTTGTTCAGTCAGCCAATAAATATTTATTTGCTGGGCCCCTGTTCCGCATCAGGCCTGTGCCCGACCCTGGGGATGTGGCAAGGAGTAAGGCAACGGCCCAGGCCCCACGAGGCCGACAGTTGGGGGGAGAGAAGCAGTAAACCAAGCAAATAGACGGAGGAAGGTGTCCTTGGACAGGGATTACAGGCAAGAAGATCAAACTGGGAGGGTGGATTGAGTGACTGGGGCCTCTGGAAAGGCCTCTCCCAACTGCCCACTGGCTGCAGAGCACGCAAACTAAATCTGTCCACACGATGGAATGCTACGCAGCCACGAAAAGGAATGAGGGGCTGCGATGTGTCACGACACGGAGCCACCTTGGGAATAGTATGCTGAGTGAGAGAAGCCGGCCACAAAAGACCACTGACAGCAGACGAGCCCACATAGACAGGAAGTGCCGATTGCCAGGGCCTGGGGGCTACGGGGGGCACTAGAAGGGCTGCTTAATGCAAGCGAGGTTTCTTTTTGGGGATGATGAAAGTGTTCTGATCTTAGATTGGGGTGATGTGTGCACAACTGTGAATATACTGAAATCGCTGTACACCTTGAATAGGTGGATTTTATAGAACGTGGATTATATCTCAATAAGACGGTCTTAAGAAGAAGAAAGAAGAAAGAAAGGCCTGTCTGAGGGAGTGGCATTGAGTTGAGAGTGGCAGGGAGGAGGGAGCTTATGAAGACCCGGGGGAGAGCATTCCAGGCAGAGGGAACAGCAGGTGCAAAGGCCCTGGTGTGTTTGGAGAACGTGGAGGAGACCCAGCCGGGGTCCAGGAGGGAAGGAATGTGCGGTCCCCAAAGTCTGGCAGTGCCAGATCCTTGTGAGGACCTGAGAGTTTACTGGGGTAGGGGAGAGACAGGGCCGGGTTTAAAGCAGGATAATGACACGATGTACTTTCTGTTTTAAAACAATCCCTGGAGCTGCTGAAGGAAATGAGACTGTGGAGGGGGAGGGGTGTGGGCTGGGGGACGTGACACCAGTCAGGAGGTATTGGCCACTGTCTAGAGGAGAGACGCTGACTGATACCCCGAGGAGACAGACTGGCAGAGGAGGGCAGTGGGAATTCAGATGGGAACAGGTCACTCCCAGCTGGGGGTGAGGAGGCTTCCTGGAGGTGGGGCCAGGGCGGGGCCTCCGGGAATGGGGGTGGGCCAGGCAGAAGGGCTTTCCAGGGGACACCACCAGTGTGGGGGTGGGGAGCTGAGAGCACGGAGGCCATAGGGAGGTGAGGTGGAATGTCCGGCCCCTGCCACCCCAGTCCCAGTTGGGCGGGGGCCACCTGTCATGCGCCTTTGTCCTGCCTGCTCGGGCTGGCCCTCAGTGAGTGTCAGTTCCCCTGTGGCCAGAGCCCCAGGCTGGGCAGGCACTCTGAACAAAGCAGCCTCACCAGAAACTCGAGTGGCCTGAAACGTGATCGGCCACACGAGACTGGCCAGGGAGGGAGCTGTATTATTTATTGACCTGCCTGCTGAGGCCACTCGGACTGGCCGGACCTCGAAGGAGCCCACTGGGCAGTGAGTGTCTGGGGCCCAGTCAGAGGTGGGCGGGGGCCCCAGGGTGCCTGGCACCCTCTCCCCAGGGCGTGGTTTCCTTGATGCTGGCTGAGCAGGGAGGAAGTCAGACGTCAAGCCCTGCAGTGGGGAGGGCCCAGAGCTCGTCCCCAGGGGCCGTGGAGGCAGGCAGGGTGCTGGGGCTCCAGGAGGACCTCCGCCCTCTCCCCTGTGACACTGTGAGTACCAAGCAGATAGCCTGGGGGAGGGAGAAGTTCGCAGCCGCCTGAGAAACCTGTGAGGGGCCGCTGATGGTCAGGGCAGCCGGCTGGGGCAGGGTCTCTGGGGCTCTCATCGGTGTGTTTGATGTTTCTCGCAACTGTTTTCTGTAACCTCTCCTCACTGCTTGGATGGCACAGAGGCCCAGCCGGGGCCCAGAGAACCTCAGGGGTTTCCTCGAAGCTGCCTACAAGGGCAGCTTCAGCCATGGGAGGGAAGTTCTTTCACTCCCCTGGGCATTAGCCCAGCCCCAGGCCCCGGTGGGGATGGAAGGTCGAGGGCCCCTCATAACTACCCCAAGAAGGAACCACACCCATTTTCCAGCTGAGTAAACTGAGACCCACAGAGGTTGCACACTTGCCGAGGGCCCCTGCAGTGTAATTGGTGCAGTTTCTTTCCCCACTGCTACCCCTTCACCCCACAGAGCGTAAACTTTGAGCACGAGGAGGCCCAGGGCAGAGGGAGCAGAAGCTTCTTTCAAAATGATCCAGAGTAGAATCTTGAGGATCTGCAGCTTCCCCAGGGCCGGGAGGGACTTCGAGACAGCCCCCGGGTGGATGGGCAGCTCTGGACACACAGAATGAGAGAGATTCAGTGAGCCTCTTCGGTGCTGTCCCTTGGGAAATCCCCTTGAGCAACATGGGGAGCCTGGGGCCACCTGCCCCTCAGGGAGATTCCCCACCGAGCTCTGCTTCCCCATCTAACCCCACTACAGCCCTGGAGAGGACAATGGCTAGCACCCTTGGTTATGTGGGAACTCAGGCACAGAGATGTTGGGAGATTTGTGCAATGTCCCACAGCAGGTGTAAGCTGGGCTGCTGGGGCTTGAACCCAGAGTGACTCCGAGCCCCTCAGTGCATCATGCAATCTCTGTCTGGGGTGAAAGACCCCATGAATAACCCATCACTAGGTCTCAGTTTTTCCAATCGTAGCGGGTTGGACTCCAGTGCTAAGGAGGGTGCTGCTATCTGCCCCCCTGGCCTCTGGGGGCTGGGGCTGACATCATGGTGGGTTTGTCTGCAGGAGTGAGAGCCCCCGGGGTGGCTCTCTGTTCTCAGGTCAACAAAGCCTTCCTCTGCCACATCGGTAGAAACCCCTGATGACCCCAGTGAGCCAGGGGGGCCGTGAGAGGACCCTGGGGTGGTCAGGCAGCTCAGAGCCCAGGGCTCTGGCCTCCAGTTCAGTGGTCTCCAGCAGCTACCTGTCTTTGTTGAGCTCCAGGGTGCAAGCTGGGGAGCCTGGCCAGGTGGGTGCTGGCACCTGTCCTGGAGGGAGGCCCATTTCAGTCCTGAGGGTAGGGCAGAAACAGCGGGACCAGGAGCCAGGACAGCTGGGCTCACCTGGGATCCAGACAGGCTCCTTTCTTTCCTGAGTCCTCATGTGCTCACCTGTGAGCAGCCAGGTGGAGTGAGGAGCCGTGAAGCATTCCGTGAGTCCTTGCAGGGCTTCAGGCTTGTCATTCATTCATGAATTCAATCATTCGACAGACTTACAGAGCACCTGCTGCAGGCCAAGCACCATCTTATCTCTGGGGCTACAAAAGTGATCAAGCAGAGGAGGCTGCAGGAGGAGGGTGTACATGGCGGGGGTTGGGGGGCGTACCTGGTTGGGTGTGTTTTGTTTTCATAGATACATATCACCTGTTAGGAAACAAAACCAGCCAGCATACCAGATTCATGATTTCATAGCTACCAATGCTTAGGATGAAGCAAACTTACCAAATGAAAAAGCGAGTGGATTTGAAGTTGATCTAGAGAGCAGGCGGTGGACAGAGAGGGCCGGAATCGTGCACGCGGCTGTGGGCGCCTGGGGCTCTCAGCAGAGGCCGGGCGAGCAGGGGACTGAGCTTTGCTGTCTGCCTAGGGGGAGTCTGGGCTTTGAGGAGAGACGTGGGACTTCCACAGATGCTCCTTCCCCTGAACCTTCTGGAAGTGGCCAGACCAAGTCCCACTTAATAACGTGACTGTTTCAGTTTGGCTCTGCTCAAATAGGTCTCTCACACCCGACAGTCACATTGGGCCTCCAAGTGGGCTCCCGCTGCAGAGATGTCAGCGTCCAACAAGCGCCGGTTTGGGTCCTAGCTCCGCCCGTCCACCCATCCGCCCGCATGAGTCTAGTCAAGCCACAGGCCTTCCCCGAGCCACCAGCTGCTTGAACAGGAAAGACTGTTTCATGGCACCAAATAAGCTCAGGTTGACGGCCCTCTCCTGTCCCTTCCCCTGCCACACCTTGAAGAGCCTGCATCCTTTGAGGCACGGGGGTTTTCCTCAGGCCTTCTCTCTGGGGATTGGACTTGGGTGGGACACATGGTCCAGGAAGCCAACTCGGGCCCTCCCACCTCCCGGGGACCTGGCAGTCTCATCCTTTCGGGAGCCCCCCTACCCCTGGGCTCAGAGCTGGCAGACGCAATGCAGGTCTCCTACCCCTGTCATTAGAGAGCCAGAGCAGCGTGGCCTTCAGAAGTCCAGCACAGATGTGGGGTTACTGCCAAGATGGGAGGCCTGGCCAGGCATGCACACGGCCCCCAAGCTGGGGAAGGAGTCTGCCGAGCACAGCATCTGCAGGAGTCAGACAGGTGAGGGCAAGTAAGAGGGTCCACACTGCATCCTCCCCTCAGAGTCCTTTATGGGCCAGGCCAGTGTTAGGCGCTCTTGGGCCTTCTGCCTGGATCTACGAGGGAGGGGCCATGAGCTGCATTTGAGGGATGAGCCAACCAATGCCCAGAAATCCATATCAGTGTGATTTCAGCTGCTTCTGGGAAAGAAGTAAAAGGAGTCTGGTCAGGCTGGGTGGGGTGTCCAGGCTGTAGCCGGCCTGAGGGGGGCATCAAGGCAGCTGTCAGCTGGGACTTGGGCTCTAGGGCCATGAGGAAGGCTTCTGGGAAAAGTCAGGCTGCTGAAGTAGGTCGAGAGCCTAGACTTTGGTCTGAGTCTCAATTCTGCTACTTTCTTAGCCATTTGACCTTGGATTAGCCTCAGGTTAGCCTCAGTCCGTCAGTGAGGACCCTTCTGGTTGCTGGTGAGAGGAAATCCAAATCAAACAGGCTTAAGCAGAAGGAAGGGCTTCATTAGTTCATGGAACCGAAAAGTCTGGGGTGGGGGATAAACTAGCTTCAGGAACGGCTGGATCCAGCAGTTCAGTTTATGTAACGGATTTGGACTTCTCAACTCTCACCTCTGCTTTCCTTCCTACCGGCTTCATTTTGAATCAGGGCTGCTCCATGTGGGGTCCCCAGCTCCGTGCTTGGCATGTAGGGAATGCTCCCCAGCCCAGCAACAGGCCAGCTTCAGGGGCCAGGCTGCCATGAGCAACACATTATCTCTGTCTTAGGGATGTTGACAGTACCCTGGGGGAGATGGGACAAGAAAAGAGGAAATTACCATACAGGGTGATCAGAGCTGAGACCGATGTGCACTCCAAAGCCCATGGGAGACCAGAGGAGGAATGTCAGAGTTCACATCTGGATGGGTTCCCCAAAGTCTTCCTAGAAGATATGACAGCTGGACTAGGTTTTGAAGGTGAAGGAGGAGTTGGTCTGGGGAATGAGGAGTGAGGGAGCGGGAGCCCTGGGGTTCAGTGTGGAGTTCAGGTTGCCTCAGGACCCACACACAGTGGGGCTGGCCAGGCTGTGCAGTTCCCGGCGAGGCTTAGGGGTCAGGATAGGTGGTGGGGGTGGGGGCAACTGAGCCTACCTATGCGTGAAAGATGGCTTTGGCTTCAAGGCAGCGAGGACAGGAAAGAATGAGCATGTAGTGAGCACCTACTGTGTGCCTGTAACTTTCCATATGTTGCCTCGTTCTGGCTACCTGATGCGCCCTGGAGGTACCTTATCCCCACTTTGCAGAGAATGAAACAGGTCCTAGAACAGAACTCCTTATCTGAGTCAATCAAACATATTTCCCCACAAACTTCAAATTTTGGACTTACCAGTTGGCCAGACTCAGTGACCTCTGACTGGCCATCGAGAGGCTACTGGGATACCACCCATGGCAGGGACATATGGGGAAGTGATTATGTTCAAAACAGTTACATGTTGAAACACCTTCCCAGCAGACTAACCACTAAGACTCCTATCACACAGGCAGCTGAAGCAAACACAGTAAATCTGAAACTTGATGTCTGCAAAATAGGGGGCACGTCATAGCCAGGGGCCAGGCATGAAGCCAGAGACCCCCATATTGAAGTAGGTATGGAGAGCCACCTGCTCATGAGCAACCAGAGGAACCCAGCTTGATTTTGAGCTTTAAGCGGCAAATTTTTAAACCGCTTCTGAGCTGCCCCACACAGTGTGTTCATTTGTAGCTGAGGTAAGTCAGGGAGAACATGGGGTGGCTCACCTATAAAGTGAGGGCATGTCCTATGCAATGACATCGAAAGAGCTCAATAAATGTCAAGGATTAGTATCCCCAAAGAAAAGAAATAGTCTCAATTTGATTATAGCATTTTAAAAATTGCTGTTTTTGCAACCACAGACTTGAGCCAAATGGGAAATTGTTTGGTTCAGACTATACCCCCCCTTCTCCCCGCCCCGAGGGCAGGTACCTGGTCATTCAGTCCTGTGTCTGCTGGTCAAGCTTCAGGTTCAGGAAATGCACTTGGTGAGTTAAAACCAAATTTTGAACTTGTCAGATATTAAATGATCCAAGGTATTCTTTCTTATTTTTTTTTAATTTGTTTTAAAGATCGTTTATTTGAGAGAGAGCAAGCACTAGCAGGGGTGGGGTAGAGGGAGAGGGAGAAGCAGACTCCCCACTGAGCAGGGAGCCGGATATGGGGCTCCATCCCAGGACCCTGAGATCATGACCTGAGCTGAAGGCAGACACTTAACCGACTGAGCCACCCAGGCACCCCCAGGGTATTCATTTTTTAAATGAGATGGTGAGACAAAGCTTTTTGAAGAGAAAAAGAAAAAAAACTAGTGGACTATACCCCAGGGATACAGTTAGAAAGTGGAAGGAGGCCAGAGGTAGATGCCATTGGCATTTCGGAGTGGTGGAGGGATATTGAGAGGTTTCTGGGGGTGGGGGGTGACCTCTGAGCCAGGTCTGGAGTGTGAGTGGGAACACTGGGCAAGTGGAGAGTGGGAGAGAATTTGGGGGGAACCTGTAGGTTGAGTGTCCATGGTGTGTTTGGAGAATAATCATCAGTCTTGGGTGGCATGGAGTCTGGAAGGATGAAGCCCAGAGCTGAGGCCCAGATGGAAGGCCGGTGAGGCCCAGAGCCCAGAGTGCTAGACTCAGTGGGCCCAGAGGAGCCCTCAGGGGTTTTGAAGCAGGGAGATGGTATTAACCAGCACTCTTTTGGTTGCATGTGATAAAAACAAACAAATAACAAAAGCAGATTGTCTCAAGCCAAAAGCTGAATTTATTGTCTTCTACTTCTGTAACAGTGAGGGCTTCAGGTACAGTTTGATTCAGGGGCTCAAACTCTATCTCCAGACACTGGCGCCTTTTTCTCTTTTTTCATCTCTCATGACTTCGCCAGCAGAAACAGTTCCAACAGAACTCCCAGAACAGACTCTCACTGGTCTAGCTGGGGTCACATGCCCATCCCTGGACCCTCCACTCTGGCAAGGGGGTGAAATATTCTAGAGATAGGGATGGAATCGGCTGATAAAACTAGATGGACTAAGAGTGGAGGAGGGGATTCCCCAAAGAAAATCAGGGTGCCTCGCCTGAAGTGAGAAGGAGGCTGGGCAGACAGAAACATCCAGCATCCCCCCACTGTGAGCTGAGAAGCCCTGCCAGGCGCTGTGCTAGGTGACCCGATGTGTGGCATCCCTTGGTGTCAGCCCCATGAGGTAAGGTTTCTTATGATCCCTGCTTTGCAGATGAGAAAACCAAGGCTTAGGGACATAGAGTGGCTTGCCCAAAGTCACACCATTCACAAATGGCCTCAGACCCCAAATCTGCTGGACTCAAAGCCTGGGCTCTTAACCATCTCTTCCACTGCCTTGGAGACACCAGATCTGAGTTCGAAGAGGGTGCCTTGGGAGCTAGAGTGGAGGATGGAGTGGCAGGGGGGAGACCGGAGGCAGGGGATGGGACAGGAGGCTGGTGCCACCCTGATGGAGGGCAGGGGAAGGGGCCCTGAGAGACAGAGGTGCGGCGTGTCCCAATGCACTATCAGCCCTAGCTTTTATTGTTGTTTTCTTATGTAGATAAAGAAGTTGATCTAATCAGCAATATATCACACACACATATATACACACAGCAATTTGTATGTATGCACACATGCATATGTACACATACACACACGCACAAACACACACACATAAGCGTGCTAATTATTTTGCCTCCTGGTTTCTGTTTCGGGCAATCTTAGCAGGAGAATGCAAGGTGTGAGGCTCCTGGGCCTGGAGGCTGGACCTCTGCTCAGGCTACAGGCACAGGGGCATTTCCTGGGGAATTTCCGGAGGAAGTGGTCAAAGGGAAGTAACCACCCACCTGGCTCAGGGCCAGGGTGGGGAGCGGGTCGGATGGGGAAACAGCCACTCTTCACTTCCCTTTTCAGCCCTAAGGCTTCCCAGGCAAGAGTCCCGCCTCCCTGATGACATCATACAGGTCAGAGGTCATTCTGCCCACACCCTCATCGCACAAAGGGAAAACTGAGGCAGCGGTGGGGGGCGTGGGGGGGGCACAGCATGTCTCACCTTTGTCATCACCGAATGGGGAAGTCTGGCAGCCTGAGTACCCAGCCTAGATCGGCTGCTGCTTTGCTGTATGACCTAGGGCAAGTCACAGAGCTGCTCTGGGCCTCAGTTTTATATCTGCAAAATGGACCTGTAATTACCTCCCTGAGTGGACAAATGAGCAAAGCTTGGAAAAGTACCTGGGTGAGTGCCTGGCAGGTGTCAGTAAATGTTGGCTGTTACAGTTTCCTCCTTTGCACGGCGCACTCTCCTTTGTGCGGCTGTGGATCCTGGTCTTGGGCCCAGCTTTCTTCTCTCTCTCTCTCTCTCTCTCTCTAAAGATTTATTTATTTATTTGAGAGAGAGAATCTCAAGCAGACTCCACACTGAGTGCTGATCCCACGACCCTGAGATCATGACTTGAGCCAAAACCAAGACTTGGGTATTCAAACAACTGAGCCATCCGGGCGCCCTGAGACCCAGCATTCTGTATATAAGCTATGTAGCTTTGGGCAAGTCACTTCACTTCTCTGGGCCTCCGGTTGCCTTATCTAGAAAATGGCTTACTAATCACCACCTCATGGGTCACTGCGAAGATTAACAGAATGCCCAGCCCCTGGGATGGGATTTTCTGGTGTGTCTCCTTCCCCCTGGGCAGCTGGACATTCGCCTGCCCCCATGGCTCCTCTTCCTGCCCTGGGAGCGTACCAAGTGAGTTATTCTATTAATAAGTCATTCAGCTAGTATCTACTGAGCACCCACTGTGTGCCAGGCCCTGCTGAAAACAGTGGGGAAGTCAGACCCAGGTCTCCTCCCCCTGGAGCTGTGAGGCTGCTGGGGGGAGGGAGACAGGAAATAAGTAAGCAAACAACTGAACAAGATACTTTCAGACAGTGCAGTGAGGAAGGTAAATGGGTTGATGAGGGGGGGAATAACTCGGTGGAGGCCACTTCAGTCAGATGGTCAGCAAGAGCCTCTCTGAGGAAGGCACCAGAGGACAAGGAGGTAGCCAGTAGAGATGGGGAATGGGCCTGACGGCAGAGGCAGGAGCACAATGGACAGCCACCAGGGAATTCAGACTCAAAGGAGAGAGGGGCTAGGGATTTCCAGCACTCCCTCCCCAGGAAGGGAGTCTGGGGGGCCAGTGTGAGCCTGAGGGTCGCAGTTGGGGGATACTCCATTTCATGTGTTTAGCGTTTGCTGGAGGCAGGGCCAGCTGAGGTCCACCTGTGAACAATGATGGGGAGAGAGGACATGTCCAGCAACCTGGTGGTCACGAGCCACCTCTGCTGCTTGTCCTTGGAGCCCCAGACTGAGGGTGGCAGGTGGTGCTGGTAGAGGGCAACTACAGGAAAAGGCAGCTGGGTTCAGCCCCAAACTTCAGAACCTCTAAGAACCACATAAGTAACCACATTTCACCTTTGAGTACTGTCACAACCCTAGCCCGGACTTCCATGTGCCCAAGACAGGCCACTGCCCGTCCCCGGAGCCCTGGCCTCTCTGGAGACACAGGGACACAAATAATATCAGTTGGTTTTTGTGGAGCAGCGGTGTGTGCCGGGCACGGTTGGGCCCTTGACACAGATCATGGCATCTTCTGGTGTCTTGTGTTGTCATGGCGGGCTTTTCCACACTGGGGGGGGGGGTGGTCTGTTGGATATGACTGACAACCAGTATGGAAAGCCTTTGTAGCTGGATTCTTTTTTTTTTTTTTAAAGATTTTATTTATTTATTTGACAGAGAGAGTGCACAAGTAGGCAGAGCGACAGGCAGAGGGAGAGGGAGAAGCAGGCTTCCCGCTGAGCAGGGAGCCCGATGCGGGGCTCGATCTGAGGACCCCAGGATCATGACCCGAGCCGAAGGCAGCCGCTTAACTGACTGAGCCACCCAGGCGCCCCTGTAGCTGGGTTCTAGGATGACTTTGTATAGGAAACACAAACTCTTAATGTCAAAAAAAAAAAAAAAAAAATTCTGGTGCTGAAATCCTAAAGATGTCTGTCCCTAAAGGGGACTGCCCTAATTTGAGCGCTGTTGACGCTGGCTTGTTCATGGGTATAGAAAGCAGATGCTGGCCGTGGCACACTGAAATCCCCCAACTGAAGGGGAGAAGCACCCACTAACCCAAAGGAGGTCGTTTTTCTGCAACACTTGTAACAGCCCCACTTCATGGAGGAGGAAACTGACAGCGAGGTTAAGTCCCTTGGCCAAGTTCATTCAGTAATGTCACGGATGGGATCTGAACCCAGGCTGGCAGGACCCAGAGCTCCCAAGGGCTCCACAATGTGCCCCCTGTGCTCTGTCCGCCTCAATGGCAAGATCAGGTGTGCTCGTGGAGGGACCGGCACCTTCCCGGTCTACTGGGTTTATAGAAGGGTCGTGTCCCAGCTCTCTCTCCTATGGCTCCCCAGCAGGTGCAGCAGAGAAAGTCAGAGCTGGAAGGCCTTTAAGAAACCATCAAGCCATCCTCCCACAGGCCAGGGGATTCCGTGAGCTTGGCCGGGCAGGGGGTGTCAAGGTGGAGCCCATGACAAGCCTAACAAACTGGGGGCTCCTGACCAACAGTGATGGGGTGAGAGGTGGAGCCCCCGAAACAACAAGAGACACCAGAAGTCTGGGCTCGGTCCCAAACTTCAGTCCAGACTATGTAACAAGCCACATTTCATCTGCACACATAGATGCCCCAGATAAGCAGGCCACAGTGAGCACCTCAAGGCTGCAACATGGCACTCTGACACACCCGCGGGGTGACACAGGAGGGCAAAGGAAGGAGCCATGCGGCCTGAGGAGGCTTCCCAGCAGCCACCAGAACGACATGCCTGAATGTGTTTCGGGCCCTACTCGGTACTCGTTTAATTCTCGCAGCAACCCTAGGAATATCCACCCTGTTTTGCAGATGGGGAAACTGAGGCCAGCCAAATCACTTGTCCACATTTCTTGCTAGCTGGAAAGGGGCTGCATCCAAATGGGGACCCAGAATTGAGCTTGCCTTTGGGAATTGGAGGGTTGACCACTGTAGTGGGTCAGGTAAGTGGAGAGGTGTTCACGTGCTTCCCACCGTGGTGTCGGCCCTCCTCCCAGGTGGCAGCTGGTCCCCAGCTGGTGCCCCCACTGCTCCATCATCTGGAGGCTGGATATGGCTGCTGGGCCAGTCATGGGAGAAGGGCCCCATCTGGTGCCTCTGGACAATATGTCCACTGAAGGCGGAGTCCTTTGCTGACAGCTCTTGTACCAGCCCCCCCCGACCCCCATCCTTACTGCATGAAGATTTGTGATCCCTGCCTGTGTTGTGGCAGCCCCTTACTGGCTTCCCCTTGAGTTGGGAGTTGGAGGAGTGTCTGTGAGGTGTCTGCTGCCCTCAGGGTAGGGAGCCGGATAGCAGGGAAGACCAAGAAGCTGGACCTGAGGGAGGGCACGGCCTGGTCAGGGTGACTTTGGGCAAATGTCTTTGTAAATGCACCAGGAGCAGCATGCTGCTGATCTAGAAACCCTCAGCACCCCGGCTCATCCAGTCCTGCCTGTGACCAGTTGGAGCCTACCTGGTCCACAGTGCAAACCTCAGGGCATCTCCCCAAGGCTGTCTCCCTCTGGCCCCACTCAAGTCTCTGTTCTGTTTAAAGGGCAGATAAGTTCCCCCTGGGAGCCTCAGAGATTGCTCTTGGACACCTGGGCCCCCTGCCCACAGTGCAGGGAATGCGTCCACGCTGTGGTTCTGCTCCTGGGGCCATGGGCTGGCCCTGAGCTGGCACTCCCAGACAGTCTCACTACCAATGAGTGTAGTGTACCTCTTTCATTTAACTGTATAACAAACCACCCAAAATGTAGCAACTGACGACAGCAATGATTTCTTATTGTGGATGGTGGTGCGGGTTGGAAAATCTGGGTGGTTCGGCTGGTCTCCAGGGGCTCACTCCTTTGCTGCACTCAGCTAGAGGGTCCGCTGCGCCTGGAAGTTCCGAGATGGCACCACTCACATGTCTGCAGTTGGTGCTAGGGCACCCCAGTACTCCTCTACATGGCGCCTTGCCCCAGTGGGCAGCCAGCTTCTGCACCTGGGGTCCCTTCTGTTCCCCTCCATGTGGCCCCCAGCAGGCGTCCACCTTCCATCCACTGAGGTCCAAGGGCAGCGTTCCGTGAAGATGAGTATGGAGCGGGCAAGCCTCTTGAGGCACAGCCTCGGAACCGGCCCAACAATCATCGCTTTTGCCACATTTGAGTGTACAGAGAAATCACGTGACCAAGGGAAAGGGAAATAAACCCCCCTTTGGGTGGGAAAGGGAGGGGACAAGTCCCACTGCAGAGGGGCCTGGACACCAGGATGGGGGAATTTGTGGCCATTATTTTGTATTCAGAGCTCATGTATCATTAGCAAGTTCTAAAGTCATTGTATACAAAGGCCCACGCCAGCCTGGTAAAATTACCCTTGAAGACCTGTCAGTTGCCCATAACATAGAGTCCCTGGTTTGTATACCCACCGGAAGTGTGTGGTCGCCGAGCCAGAGCAGATGAGGGAGCCAAGGCTTGCCCCGGCATTCCAGCCTTTGCGGTGAGGAGAGGACCCACAAATCCCTGCTGGGAATGCAGTGGGTCCAAACCACCTTCGGTGGCTCCATTCTGTGTTACTGGTAAGCCCATAGAGCTGCCCTGCCCCAGACCAAAGCCACTAGCCATATGGGGCTATTTAGATTTTAACGAGTTAAATGAAATTTTTTTAAAACTCAGTTCCCCATCTGCACTAGCCATGGTCCGGGTGCTCAGTGGCCGCAAGGCTAGCAAGTGGAGAGCAGGAGCAGCTGGCCTGAGCCCAGCTACGTCCCCTTCGTCCAGCAGCCCTTCTACCTGCCT